ATTTTGGCTTTCTTGGCTTTGTCTGCAATCTTTGCTTTCTTGGCTTTCTCGGCTTTCATTTCCCGTTCCTTCTTGGCCTTGATTCTCTCCTTCTCCTTAGCTGCCTTAGCCTTGGCGGCAGCTTTCTCCTTGGTGCTGTCAATCTTGAACGTACCGGCGGCTCCCTTACCCTTGGTGCGGATAAGTTCACCCTTCTCTACACCAGAGTTGAGAGCATTGCGGATGCTTTTGGCCTTCTTTTCGACGTCTACCCCACAGTTTTCCTGGAGGTACTTCTTGATGGCTTGAGAAGAGGCGCCGCCTTTGCCCCCTAGAGTGGCAATGGCTTCCTTCACCAACTTGAGAAGGGACGGAGATTTGGTTGCTGCAGCAGAGGTAGACATGATTTTGTCACGAGATTTGCTGTTGAACAATCGAGCAGATGCTGAAACTGGAAGACGAGTAATGGCCTCACAGAAAATTTTGGCCGCCTTTTAACGATACGCTGCGGTCGCGGCGCGGACGCACAACAATGCCCATTCATGATCATGCAAGCCCAACCAGCCGAGGAGCGGTGGCCCGTTTCTCGGCATTTCCTCTTATTTTGTGTTTGACATTCCAAGTGTTTTGATTCCTTATTTATTGCAGGGGTATTTCTAGAGTTTGAAACTGATCCAAGCGGCTACTACGTGATTTGATCTTTCCACTGATATAAAATTGTACGTGATTAGTAAAAGCCATATGATATAAATCGGCGTTTATGACGTGTGGGCACTTCGCCGCTGACCGGTAATTTTGTATTTTATCGGTTTAGCTGATTTCAGTTTTGTTTCCTTCAGCGATATTTCTAGAGTTTGAAGCGGGGCCATCTTATTGTGGGTGATTCTCTCTTTCTACCGACGACAGGCCCTCACAAAAATGTAAATTAATCGTTAAATACTACACGAACTTTGCCGAAATAGGACTGTCAACGATAGTTGACCGTTATAGCGCCCTCAACACTCTTACGGCGGCCGATGCTGCTTGCCTCGGTTTCTTTCCGCGCTGATTCAAAACATTCAGCCCTACCATGGACAAATTATTGGTTTATATTATTAAGGTGAATTGTTGATCTGAAGTTGTTGAATTCACTTTCACGTTATGCCCACCACCATGATTCTGCAACCACTCTTTTTACCCGCTTACTACGCTTTTTTTTTTTTTTTTTTTTGGTGGCGGGGGGTGGGGGGGGGGGGGGTTCTCTCTATCTCTCTCTGGGTTTTATTTAAATATTTATTTTTTGGTGAGGAGGGGCTTAATACGAAACAATTAAAAAAGGAACACTTGAAAATTGTAATCATGACAAATAAAAAATATATAAAAATTTCAAAGTGCAGGAAAGGACTATCTCTTTTGTAAAAATGTTGTGGCTCTGAAAAGAGCCGTTTTGGTTTGAGTCTGTTGATTCGATGATTCATTTCTTCGAAGGCTTGGCCGACACTTTCTTCTGCTTGCTCGATGTGCTCTTGCTGGCTGGCTTCTTGGCTGGCTTGGCTGGCTTGGTGGAGGATTTCTTGGCAGATGATTTAGTTGACCTGGAGTGAGTTTTCTTGGCAGCTTTCTTGGGTGACTTCTTCGGCGCGGGCTTTTTGGCTTTCTTCACCATTTTGGCTTTCTTGGCTTTGTCTGCAATCTTTGCTTTCTTGGCTTTCTCGGCTTTCATTTCCCGTTCCTTCTTGGCCTTGATTCTCTCCTTCTCCTTAGCTGCCTTAGCCTTGGCGGCAGCTTTCTCCTTGGTGCTGTCAATCTTGAACGTACCGGCGGCTCCCTTACCCTTGGTGCGGATAAGTTCACCCTTCTCTACACCAGAGTTGAGAGCATTGCGGATGCTGTTGGCCTTCTTTTCGACGTCTACCCCACAGTTTTCCTGGAGGTACTTCTTGATGGCTTGAGAAGAGGCGCCGCCTTTGCCCCCTAGAGTGGCAATGGCTTCCTTCACCAACTTGAGAAGGGACGGAGATTTGGTTGCTGCAGCAGAGGTAGACATGATTTTGTCACGAGATTTGCTGTTGAACAATCGAGCAGATGCTGAAACTGGAAGACGAGTAATGGCCATACAGAACATTTTGGCCGCCTTTTAACGATACGTTGCGGTCGCGGCGCGGACGCACAACAATGCCCAATCATGATCATGCAAGCCCAACCAGCCGAGAAGCGGTGGCCCGTTTCTCGGCATTTCGTCTTATTTTGTGTTTGACATTCCAAGTGTTTTGATTCCTTATTTATTGCAGGGGTATTTCTAGAGTTTGAAACTGATCCAAGCGGCTACTACGTGATTTGATCTTTCCACTGATATAAAATTGTACGTGATTAGTAAAGGCCATATAATATAAATCGGCGTTCATGACGTGTGGGCACTTCGCCGCTGACCGGTAATTTTGTATTTAATCGGCCTAGCTGATTTCACCTTTGTTTCCTTCAGCGATATTTCTAGAGTTTGAAGCGGGGCCATCTTATTGTGGGTGATTCTCTCTTTCTACCGACGACAGGCCCTCACAAAAATGTAAATTAATCATTAAATACTACACGAACTTTGCCGAAATAGGACTGTCAACGATAGTTGACCGTTATAGCGCCCTCAACACTCTTACGGCGGCCGATGCTGCTTGCCTCGGTTTCTTTCCGCGCTGATTCTAAACATTCAGCCCTACCATGGACAAATTATTGGTTTATATTATTAAGGTGAATTGTTGATCTGAAGTTGTTGAATTCACTTTCACGTTATGCCCACCCACCATGATTCTGCAACCACTCTCTTTACCCGCTTACTACGCTGGTTTTTTTTTTTTTTTTGGTGGGGGGGGGGGGGGGGTTGGGGTTGGGGTGGGGGGGGGAGGGGTTCTCTCTATCTCTCTCTGGGTTTTATTTAAATATTTATTTTTTGGTGAGGAGGGGGCTTAATACGAAACAATTAAAAAAGGAACACTTGAAAATTGTAATCATGACAAATAAAAAAATACATAAAAATTTCAAAGTGCAGGAAAGGACTATCTCTTTTGTAAAAATGTTGTGGCTCTGAAAAGAGCCGTTTTGATTTTAGTTTGTTGATTCGATGATTCATTTCTTCGAAGGCTTGGCCGACACTTTCTTCTGCTTGCTCGATGTGCTCTTGCTGGCTGGCTTCTTGGCTGGCTTTGCTGGCTTGGTGGAGGATTTCTTGGCAGATGATTTAGTTGACTTGGATGGAGTTTTCTTGGCAGCTTTCTTGGGTGACTTCTTCGGCGCGGGCTATTGGCTTTCTTCAACATTTTGGCTTTCTTGGCTTTCTCACAAAAATGTAAATTATCGAGAAAGGTCTCTCTTGCTCCCATTGACGTGATATTTGTATTCTTTGGTCGTTGTCAAATTTAAGCAGAGCTAATATTACTCTTAGGGGAAAGAACACCTCGAACTAAAAACACTGAACATCGGAAATCTTATCAGAACCAAATCCAAGAAATGAAAATGCCTATATAGCATTTATAGTATTTTGAGAACGATGAAGCAAGCAAGCAGTACCCTCTTGTATTGTTTCTGAATGGCATCTGGTAAACCTCCATGCAACCTCAATCCCCCACTGTAGACGAAACTGTTCTATTTTTTTTTAGGGGGGGGGGGTGGGAGGGGAAGATTCTTGCATAGGCCTGCTCAGGTACGGCCTACGTGTTGCATTGGTATGGGTACCCATGATGAAAGAAGTCCGGAAAATATCCGGCCTCGAAAGCTAAGGCAGGGGACCGGAAGCCACACTCTTGGAACCCAGTGCGCAGACGGGTGATCAGAACATCATGGAAAAGGTTAACAGAAAACAGTGTGGAAAAATTCCAAGAGTCTTCGGCCTAGGCCTGCATAGAAAGTAATGTTAGGTCATAAAAGAACACACTCGGCATGACTATTGTTGATGTACCCTATTACGCTAACGTGGCGCTGCTATGCCCCTACCGTGGCGCACTTTGGTTTTTCGCCTGTATGTACCGCCTAGCTAGAGCAAAAGTTTTTACTCAAATTTCACAGAAAGTGACATTTCATCAAGTTTTAAACACTCCCGTTCATAAATCACAAGTTTCTACCCGTCACAAAGTTAGAAGAAAAGTTTATTTCGGTGCAGTGATTTTCCGATTTTATTTCAAAGTGCACCGTGAGTGAACCCAAAATGTCCCCCCAAAATAAGAAAATAGTTTGCTGACAAACTTCTAGTTGGGTACGTAAGTAGAGATAATAATGGTTTATCAGAATTTATCAACTTTGGAATTTTCCGAGATTTATTCAAGTCAGCCACACGTTGAGGGAACACTCGGCCGATTTTGTGCTCAATTTCCGGACACCACCGTTTTTGAATTTCGGATTTAATGTCATGACACCGAAATTGTTCACAGAGGCTAAATAGCAAGCATTTATAAGGTAAAAGTACCAGTATAAATTTCACTGAATGAATTTGAAGTTTGTCAACAAAGAAGTTTGGCAACACTACATGAGAAAAGTCAGAGTAAACGTCCGAAGTGCGCCACGTGTTACACCGGCACTTTACACTGCTTCAAATTTCCAATATTTTGCAACTTTTAACTCCTGTACGGATGTAATACATAGAAGGCATGACCACAGCCAAATGCTCTCTCTTAACCGGCGTTCACGCCAGCGCCATGCACTGCATGCAATCACTGATCTCTATATAAGAGATCAGTGCATGCAATCATCCGACCACGCGACCACGTACGCGGCCGGCGTGCTCGTTGTAAATATTGGCGCCATTTTGTATGGGCTGCCGTAAGCGCATAAATTGCAGCTGTGGTTGGCAACATATTTTTCCAAAAAAATACTCATAACACCATCAACACATAGTTAAAAGACATATGTGGGAATTATTTTGTAGTTTTGTTGAAAGTGTTGTATTTTCAAGTATCAAATAATATTTTGGTGATCTGTAATAACTCTTCTTCATTATTGCAGTGTTGTACGTTCCATAGTTTTGCAGGCCGTGGTTGGCAAAAATGCAGTTTGCCAACCATGCATATACCAAGCGCAGAAAGGTCTATAATGCGATATCCCTTTGCCATGTGTGGATGTATTATGCATGCAGGAACTTCAGTAGTCAGTACATGTGCATGTGGTACATGTATGTTGTTGTTTACACATTACGATGGCCTCAGTAATGCTTCCAGAGGTGACATTTCAACTTGATGTGAAAGAACATTTAGAAAAATGTTTCTTGAATGAAAAGGTAAAAACTATAGGAAAGAATGTTCAACTTATGTTGCAACCTGACGCCACTTTTAAATTTCTTCACAGGCTATCATCATGGAGCTATATCATCAACTTGGACATAAATCTGGGACTGAGAAACATTTTCATTTTCAATGTTGTTTCTTGACTCTCCATAGACTTTGTACACAACGGCTGAAGTGGCGTCTGGATACTAAATTCTTTCCAAAGAAGTCCAAACTATAGTATAAATGTTAGTCTTACTCTTCTTAGACCATGGTTGAAGCATGGAGGAATTCCTCCATGCCATGGTCAGGTGATGGTCTTAACTATTATTTTTACTCGCTAGTTGCAGCGTATAGGCCCACTATCTCAGGCATTAGAACTCCTTTTTGACATTATTGCAGTGGATATTTAGTCAAAACCGGTTTTCTTGGAGTAAACTGGTGCCAGCCAATCCACTGCGTTATTTTGATCGCAGTGGCTATCGTTACGGCAGCCGTAACGCAGTTTTCAACTGCTATTGTTACGGAATTGTCTGGTTCCCTGGCCTTGTAGTATTCAATGTCAGTATGTGGCTGTTGGAACTATCAAGCGAATAGTTTTCAGACTTTCATTCCCTTTTAAAAAAATCCTCCAAAGGCACTGATTTCGGGAAAAGATCCATACTCGGACGTCAATTTATCTGCTGCCAAACATATTAATTGTCACCTCACCTTGTCATTTGAACCAAGAGAAATCCAGGAAGCTGTGTTAAGGTAAAAACAATGTACTCAAAATGTGTTTTTAGAGCACATTTTGGATGCATACGTCGTGCAGAAACTAACTTGAAGCAGCCGGTCAAAACTGATTGTAGTGGCTGAAAGACAGCGGTACGTTATACACGTGACATCAACAACCATGACGTCGCATGAGCCTGCCAATGATAGTGCAATACGTCATTATGAATATTTATTTTCTCATGAATATTTAGTTTATTTCAATGGATACTTCAAATACGTCCAAAGATTGATTATTGCAACAGCGATCGTGCGCGGCCTAGCGGTTAAGAGTCTCGTGTATCAAGAAAGCGTCAGAGGTTCGAATCCCGATGAAGTAACTGACTGATTAATAAATAGAAATTAAGGAAAGGAGAGGGTGAGAGTAGAGGAGGGAAAGTGGAGGAATAACCATAAAAGATGTAACTTTTGGCGCTAGAAAATTAATTGAAAAAAGTGACGTCCGAGTACGGAATTTTTTCCGTGATTTGTAATTTCCTAAACAGATTTCAAGACAAGATATTCTCAAACTTTTCGTAAAAATTACTTGGAAACCAACCATATAGATGTCCCCAACTTACATGTAGATGTGAACATTATTTTGTATTATGTTTACAATGGCTTTTACATAAGCTACTGAATCAGATATACTGAAGCCACATCTATTGATTTGATTTCAGGCCATAGCCCAGGTTGGTGAGGATGTATGTAAGGAGAGATGGACTAATCTACTGACTGCATTGAGTTATCCTCCTGCTTGCACTGTACTGAGAGTCAGTACACTACATCATAGTAAGGAAGATACCAAACAGTATCTCAGTCAAGTTCTGCACCAGGTAAACACTATGTACACAGCACCATTTCACTGTGACGTGCTTGGAGTCACATCAGGAAAATGCATGAAGAGATGGATTTCTAGGAATTCTAGGAAGATGCACTGCACAATATGAATCACAAAAAATGCAAAGATCCAGTGATATCACTGTGCATGTATAGCATTTTTTTTTTCAAAGAAATTTTCTTATAGAAATTGACAGCAATTCATCTCCAAATGGTCCCAAAGATATTATGATTTTTTTGTGTTTTGAAATTTATCAAGACTTTGGACCGAAATATAAATCATTCCATTGTGCCCAAGTGCACATTTGGCAGAAAAACACATTGCCTGCTCACCCTGATGAGCAGTGCCGTGTACAAAACTCATTGCATTTGTATCTGCAGTATTCTTTTGATGATAAAAGGGTGTTTATTTGTGGGAGTGGTAATCAGGAAACACAAAATACTGCAAAATCTTTCTGTCTTTAGTTATCACCTTGCTATGTACATGTTTTTAATTAGTTCAATATACTTTCTGTTGTCAGCAATATAGTCTTAAAGATAGACCGCCTGCTGATGTGAATGATCATACCAACCTAGATGACACAGTGGTGATATCATCCAGCAGTGTAGCTGGTACCAGCAGGATACCAGTGATTCCGTCCTCTAAACAAGTCATAGTAGATAGACAGTGTGGCCTGGCTGTCATGAGAGGGGCGGATATATATGCCCCTGGAGTTTTAGCAGCTTCAATAGGTTCGTGCACTTTGTATATTTAATAAGAAATGGGACTCACAAGACAGTGTACATGTGTTCCCTCTGAGAGGCTACTTTCAACTTTATGATTGACCTGCTGAACTTATGCTGCATCCAAATTACTTGGCTATGACTAGAAATATCACATGCGTCTATGGGAAGTGGCTGCAGCTACAATGTACTTCCATACGCGTGTGTGTAACTCCTAGCCGTAGCCAAGGGGGCAAGCTCAATCTTCCATCAGGCTCAGCCGCTTCCATACGCGTGTGTGTAACTCCTAGCCGTAGCCAAGGCGGCAAGCTCAATCTTCCATTAGGCTCAGCCGCTTCCATAAGCGTATGTGTAACTCCTAGCCGTAGCCAAGGCGGCAAGCTCAATCTTCCATCAGGCTCAGCCGCTTCCATACGCGTGTGTGTAACTCCTAGCCGTAGCCAAGACGGCAAGCTCAATCTTCCATCAGGCTCAGCCGCTTCCATACGCGTGTGTGTAACTCCTAGCCGTAGCCAAGGCGGCAAGCTCAATCTTCCATCAGGCTCAGCCGCTTCCATAAGCGTGTGTGTAACTCCTAGCCGTAGCCAAGGCGGCAAGCTCAATCTTCCATCAGGCTCAGCCGCTTCCATACGCGTGTGTGTAACTCCTAGCCGAAGCCAAGGCGGCAAGCTCAATCTTTCATCAGGCTCAGCCGCTTCCATAAGCGTGTGTGTAACTCCTAGCCGTAGCCAAGGCGGCAAGCTCAATCTTCCATCAGGCTCAGCCGCTTCCATACGCGTGTGTGTAACTCCTAGCCGTAGCCAAGGCGGCAAGCTCAATCTTTCATCAGGCTCAGCCGCTTCCATACGCGTTTGTGAAACTCCTAGCCGTAGCCAAGGCGGCAAGCTCAATCTTTCATCATTTTGGATGTGAAAGATTGGAAACAAAACCTAGGAGAAAACTAAAACATTTAAATTTAACAAAGGAAAACAAAGCAAACAATTTCAAAGTATGTGTGTCTAAAAGATTTTAACAATGGCCAGGCCTTGTCTATTGCTAATGAATAGCATACGGCAATGTCTCAGTGTTTTTTCCCATGATGCACTGCAGGTGAATCAGGATTTGCAGTTCATTAGAGATTATTTCGTGTTATGTACTGTATCAGTGCTTGACTTAGTATTGTGTGTTGGGCTGTTTTAATTGTAAATTGAAAGATTGGGGTCCTACAAATTCAATTCTGAACCTTACTGCTGTGCCATGTTGTGTGTTTTTTTTTCAGACGTGATTTTCCTTTAAGTTAAATGAATGTTTATTAACCCTAACCCTCTAGGGTGTTTAGGCTAGAAACCCTGCTAAATGCAGCAATAAGAACTCCTGTCAAATTGAGAAGCCCTAGCTACCAATGCAGTAAGATCCATTTGATAAAAAATCTCAAGGCCAAACTGCCTCAGAGTCTGTAGTCACCAACTGCAGCAGGACACAACTGTGGCAATGTTCAATGGGACTAGCTCTCATTGTCTGAGAACTGTCAGTTTATGCATTGGTGTTGATGGATGCGACCAGACCATAGAGCTATATTAAATTACTAGAGCGCTAACTCTTCATTCATGTGTGTGGAGACGCTTTGAAGCCGCTGTGGGCGCAGACATTTTGAATTAATGTGCGTGTTTGTAGAACACAATCAAAATAGATGGATTGAATTTTATAGGTGTACTCTAAATGCAATGCGCAAGTAGAAGATAGGCAAACAACTTAAGCGCGTCATGATGGTTAAAAAAACTTTGTGTAGAGCAAAATGACATGCTTGTTTGCTGATCGTGCGTTTCGGTTATGGGCTTATCGGCTTCGATGGTGCACCGGCATGGAATACAAACGCAGACTTGCAAATAGACGTACAAAAGACATACACAATTTCTAGTTCTCCATAGGTTTGTGTACAAACGTGTGGATGCACCCATCAGGCATCACTTTCTACATGATCGAGTTAGCGCTCTAGTAATTTAATGTAGCTCTATGGACCGGACCCAACACCTGTTGTATTGTGTTGTGTCTTGCAGGGTTTGGTCTAATTGTTGCCAAACGGGGCCCAGTTTCATAGAGCTGCTTAAGCAGAAAATTTGCTTAAGCACGAAAAAACATTGCTTAGTAAAATTAGGTTACCGGCCAAAACTCCATGTGATGTACATTGCTTGTGACTGGTATTTAGCTGTTGTTTACTTAGCATAACAATCGCATGGAGTTTTGGCCGATAACCTGATTTTATTAAGCAAGACGTTTTTGTGCTTAAGCAAATTTTGTGCTTAAGCAGCTCTATGAAATTGGCCCCAGGACCCAATATATCAATTTCCCACTCATTCTCAAAACTCTCTTTTGTGTTTTTGGTCTGCCAGATATGGTTGAAGGAGACAATGTGTCTGTTTATGTTGATGTCAATGGCTTGTGTCGACGAGGATTGACCAAACCATTTGATGGAGCTAAGGTATTCCTGGGCAATGGCCATGTGGTCATGAGTAGGAGAGAACTATTTGTCACCAATAGTGAGCCAAGGTGAGTTCATTATGGACCAGCAGCTGTCCAAAAAGAAGGCTATTATTGAAGGGGGATAAAGAGCTCAATGTATTTTAATACCAAATTTACTTGCTTTTTGAAATGAACTGAAATGAGTGGAAGGGAGGGGGGCATTTCCTTCCCTCCCAGTCCCCCCTCCCCCACCCCGTTATCTCCTAACACTTTATCAACAAATAGATTAATTATGTTTATTTCTTAGCTGATTCATAAAATGTGGACACATTTTTGGCCAATGAAAGTACACTATACAGTACATTGGCACTTTTGTATATAAAACATTCCACACATGCATTTGTACAGCCGTAGATAGTGTGCAGCCAACGTCTTTGTACATTATTTGGTATACATTTGTTATACACCATTCTGCGGTTTGATACAGTTCTCATTCATAAAAACAACTACACTTCTAAGTTGCTCTAGTGGCTTATTTCCGGACCATTGACAATGGGTATGCCCTCGCATACACAGGTTTAAGATCTTATTTTGACTGCCCCTAAAATATTTCCTTGCCCCCAATTGTCCCCCCCCCCCACATTCAGAGTCTGGCGCCGCCACTGTTCAATCGTGATACCACATTTGGCAAATGATCCCTAGACTTTTACATTCAACATGTTTGTTTCTATATTATTTATATTTGAATCTAGAGGCGTTGCAGTCAGGCTGTGTGAGCCAGTCTTTGACTGTCCATCACTGAATGGCATACTGACAGATAGACTCTTCCTACAGAATCTACCATCCATTGTAGTAGGTCATGTCTTGAATCCCGTAGCAGGCAACAGAGTGCTTGATATGTGTGCTGCTCCAGGTAGGCAGCTATGAATGGCTGGTCATGTCCATAGCGGGCAAGTCTTGCCAGTTCATTTTTAGTTTTGAATTCAGTTAATGTATTCAGTCATTAATCATGCAACATTAACTAGTCACAATTTATCTAAATTGGATTGGGGCTAATTACAACCCAGAAACAAGTATCATTTCCTAAAATACATAATATGTGAGGATCGTTTAGTTTCAAAAACAATATATCATGCATGGAACTGTTTGTTTTGTGTCCCTAAAGCTGCCCTCGGGTCAACCTTGCGACGATACTGACCAGTCGTCGACTGACTATTCAGGATCAATCTGCGTCTAAGCTACGGCCACGATATTAAGACAATCGGAATTAGTCAGCGCTCAAAAAAATCAACAGTCCCAAGAGTAGAAATATTTCAACTTCTACGATATGTTCCCGACAGGCGGAATCAATTGCAATCGACCTGTGTTTGAATTCACAATGTCGTGCGCGCATCCTTTATCATTGTGTAGGCAATCAGCACATTACACAGGCGCTTGGAAATGTATAATTTTTGACTTGTGTCGATTTTTGGACTCAAACATTTTAGACCGTATCAGGGGAATGCGCGCTGATTATGGCCTAAGCCAAAACAGCTAAGCACATATTTATTCCCTTATTGTTAAAGGAGTCACATGACTGTCTATGCCGTAGAATCATCGTGGGGTCATGGGCGACATGAGCATGGTTGTGATTATTTTGCGAAATTGCGTCAAGATGCCACTTGTTTCACAAGAATCGATTTCTCAGTTTTGTGACTTGAGCATTATTTTTCTGCTTGATGCTGATGGTTCCGTCGTGGTGCAAGCAAATCGTGGGTTGACATGAGGCTGGCTTAAGTCTGTTTAATAGAACTGCCTATCCACCAATTCATCTATTAATTATTTCAGTTCATACTTAAAGTTATGTTCCCCATGCCCTTCAATTAATTCAAATTTTTGTATGAATAAATTTCCAACTTGTATGTGTATTCCAACCCCAACAAACTTTTTTATCCTTTTTTTGGACATCTGCAACCCTTAAAAAAAAAAGGGGTTTTGGGCACAAACAGATCCGCTTTGCAAGCAGACTGTCTCCTGGTCTGAACGTTATCGCAGCCAATAATTCAAAGTTGTACAGTAATAATTATATAACCAAACATTGGTTGATTTTTTATTCGGCCCATATATTTTGCATTGTATTTTCGTACAGGAATTTAGAAAAGGAATCTATTTTTCGTGATGAAACTTGAAAAATGGGATGGGGAATACACCTTTAGGGCAAAATAAAAGTGAAGGAAGTTTGCTACTGCAATCTCACGAACAAACTTGGCCGACTCAAAATATATCATATATGCATGATGTATGAACCATGTGTATGCGATTGCTGCTCAAAACAATGCGAGAGCTACATTGCTTGAGACAGTCCAAGCATGCCTGGACTAGGATGAAAGGATCTGTGGGTTAGCTGCAGCCAAGTGTCTCTCCAGCCACATTTACACTTGCTGCTACACACCACACAGTCATGAATATCTTATGTTACCTAGAGCTGTTTGTGGATAGCCTTTCTAGTCTGAGGTGGTAAAATGGTAGTCATTGCTGTTTTTCAGGACATCCCTATATCTCTCCTATTGTCCACAATGAGAACACTGACCGGTTGAAAAGCTAGCGACAGTTAAAACTAATGCCATTACAGTCTTGCACTTTACATTTTGTTCTGATCTGTGGATTGATACTGATATGGTCTAATAACTAGGAACATTGTGTTTGTGTTTCAGGAGGAAAGACTACACATTTAGCATCTTTAATGAAAGATCAAGGTGTGCTGATTGCCTTAGATAAATCACAGAATAAACTCAACAAAGTCAAGCAAAATGCAAGAAGACTCGGTCTGAGCTGTATACAAGCCTTCTCATATGATTCAACCAAAGCGTGCAGTAGAGATATGGTGAAACTTTCAAATCATGATACAGGTGAGAACAATCACAGTGTGCTGTGTGGTATGCAGTATTGCAGTTGTTTCTTTTTAAAGACTTTCCTATCCTAGGCCACATTTTAAAGGCTATGAGTTGTTTGAAGAATACTGACATATTTCAGTCGGCATTCAACAGAACAGATCTGACCCAAACCTCACACTAATGTTTTTACAGAATGATAATGCCAGATTCAAGTCAAGACCAACATGAATGAGGATAGACTCTGCATCACTTGAAGTGGAACACACAAAATCACTGGTTCAATGTGACTGTTGGATTTACGACAAATGTTTCATGATAATGGATCTCATAAAACGAGAAACCCTCACGTTGAAAAGCTCATTATTTTCTTAAAGCTACAGTCCATCATTTACAGCTATTCAAAAAGTAACTGACGTAATTATTGTTGAAAAGCATACTTGGTTGAAAGATAGTAAGGGGACTAAACTCCCTGTGAAATTATTCTTTCTGGAAAGCTGTCATTTTGAAGAAATCAACGAAATAAGGCCTTTCCAACCTTGCATCTTAAAATGCACCGTTTGAAATTTCCATTAGTAATTCGTTTTTTTATTTGGCGAAGCGCGCAAGCGTTGACACGACGCACACGCGCGCGCGGTTGCTTTAATTCGTTGTATCAGTGCACGACAGCGGGCAGCTGCAATCGGCTCAGTGAGAACGTGTCTCGGATGCTGAATTCAGGCCAAATTGAAAACATGATTCAGCAACTTTAGATTTGAAATCGAGATCCTAGAATGTTGTTTTTCTCGAAATACATGTAGACAGCATTCACTGAGCTGAAACTTCATCAGCTTAGTTGGTCACCACCCTTCTTCAATTTTGAGCATGTTTGTTGTGTTGGACCCAACACAGAGAGTTGGGATAGTGTGAAAGTCCTTCAAAGGCTGCCCAAGCTTTTGCTAGTGCTAAAAACATGTGTTTTGCATGTTTGTCTTTAGAAATCAATGCACCACCGTACCCTCCTGAAACATTTGATTGTATCCTCTTGGATGCACCATGCAGTGGACTAGGACAGAGACCTCAGATATGCAACCAATTACAACTCAGTGAACTGAAATCTTACCCCGCCTATCAGCGAAAGTTCTTGACCACTGTAAGTATGCCATGTTGTCTCTAAACTAAAGCCAATATACAATTGTTGTCTGCTGGGATGTAGTCCATGGTATTTTCTATGGCGGAAATTAAGTGTGGGATTTGGTGACATTTGCTGACTGAGGATTTACTAAACCCACAGATTAGTTAGAAGTTACCAGTGTTTTGTTTTACTATGGTCTTATTATTATAGCTGTTTAATAATGTTTAAAATCTTGTTGACGGTAGTGCACACTGCACAGACCTTTTATTTTCATTGTGTTAACTGCTGGTCAGTGAATTGCAAATAGGTTCCTAAGATGCCAAGACATTGTAGGAATTGATTGTGGAAAGCCCTCATTTTGTCCTGGAAAAAACTCCTGGAAAAGTCATGGAATTTTGGTGGTAGGCTTACTTTGAAAAAATATTTCCATGAAAATTGCTGCAGCTGTAGTCCTCTTAAAGACAACCCTATCTAAATTCATGCATGTTGGAAAACTGCAAATTCTCTAACTGTTTCTATTATTTCTTTTTTGTTTGATTTTCTGACCTTTCTCAGGCTGTTGAGTTACTGAGGCCAGGAGGAACACTTGTGTATAGCACTTGTACAGTCACACTAGCAGAAAATGAAGGAATGGTAGAGTGGATTCTCAACACATTCCCACAACTTGCATTATCTCAACAGGTCAGTTACTCATGGATTTACCTACTAACGTAATTATTTAAAGCTATAGTCCATCATTTGCAGCCATCCGAAAAGTAACTGGCGTATTATTGTTGAAAAACATACTTGGTTGAAAGATAGTAAGTGGACTAAACTCCCTGTGAAATTATTCTTTCTGGCAAGCTGTCATTTTGAAGTAATCAACGAAAGAAAGCCTTTCCAACGGTGCGTCTTAAGACGCACCGTAGGAAAATTTAAATTAGTAGCTCGTTTTGTTATTCGGCGAAGCGCGCACCCTCATTGGCACGATGCACACGCGCTTAGGGTTGATATAATTCGTCGGATCAGTGCGCGACGTTGCGTATAGCTGCAATCGGCTCAGTGAGAACGTGTCGCGGACGCTGAATTCGGGCCCAATTCAAAACATGATTCAGCATCTTTTGATTTAAAATTGAGATCCTAGAAAGCTGTTTTTCTCGGAATATACAGCTGAAGCAGAGCTGAAACGTCATCAGGTTTGTTGTTCAGCACCCTTCTTTAGATTTTGAGCACTTTTGTTGCTTCAAACGAACAAAATGTTCAAATTACAAATGATGGACTATATCTTTAAAAGGAGTGTATCACTGAATTACTAAAAGCATTGTTATTAAGATACTGAAGATATTTAAGATTTGGAAATGATAATTGAACACAAATAGTATCGTACATGCTAAGGACACTCTGCATGAACACTCATGAAAACTTTGTGTGTGGGACACACTCAATGTGCAACTGATTTTCATGTAGCATCTTTGGTTCAGTGCAAAAGACCAGCAGCTGATTTCATAAAACACTCCACTTACACTTTTGCATAACTTGTGCAATATTTCCCGTTGCGCAACATTTCGGTTATTTTGAACACACATTTCACGAATGTTTAAGTCTGTGACTTATGCAACAAATTATGCACAACTTTTAGGTGGCTAATTACATGTACCTTATGGCAATGTGATTGAAAATTGACTATTTTATTGAATAATCACTCCACTTATCAAGGTTGATACAGGAAACTCACAAGTTACAACGTGTATTTGCTTCAAAGCTAACTTGTGAGTGAAAAAAAGTTTTAGAGTTGCTGCAAGATTTTAAAGAAAGTCAGAAAAAACTGTATTCAAAATATTTTGTGACTGAACAATTTTGCCCTTCACTGACGTATAAACACTCTATACTCAGTGTGTTACCTCCCGAGTGAAAGTTGGAAAATTGTTTACAAAAGTGCCACAATAAAGGCTGTTATTAGCCTCATCCAAGATGTTTAGAGTATTAAAATTTTATGCAGCTCTGCCAAGTTTTCATGAAATCAATCGCAAGTTTATTGCCCAGCTGCGAAACAAATGCGGCGTAAATCCTATGCATGGCGGTTGTTACGCACTGTTTCATGAAATCGGCTGCAGGTCATGCTTTACACAAAAGGGCAATTCCATTGATGCGGGCATTTCATTCCGATCCAAGGACCAATTTGAGAAAAAGCAAAACATCGCAGTGAAAACAAATTTTATATAATCAGTACAACTCTAGCTTGGGCCTGAAGCTTACAAACACCTTGTCAATGACTGTTATTGGTGTTATGCTTTAAGACATAGTTTTTTGTTTCATAGTACAGATCACCACTATACATGTGTGTGTGCATGTGCGTTTGTTTGTGCGTTTGTTGTGTTTGCAAAGTGGGTAACAGGCGGTAAAGCGTCCCCCCCCAAAACCCCCCCCCAAACCCCCCCCCCCAGAAAAAAACATACCACTTGCATTTAAAACAAGATGCCACAATGACTAATTAAAATCTATATTTTTTTTGCACCAAAGCCAGTTTTTTTCCCAAAAATACATTTTACCACATTCCATCTCACTGGCATGCCACTCAAATAAAAGGTCTTATAATAAAAGGTCTTACCCCCTTTTATTTGATACCACATTTGAGGTTGTGATGCTTGTAGTTCTGAAGATGTCATAAATTTTCCACATTTCAGCCATGTCCACTTTCCGTGGAAGTGCCCAAAAGCAAAAGCAAAGTGAATTATATGTCTTGAAATGAAATTCTGCTGAAGTACAGTATGAACTTGCCATAATTCCCTAACTTTGCAATGTGTGAGTCTATGTTGCCCCTCAAATTCATGATAATTAATTAATGTAAACATTTTTAGGTGTTTTGAAGGTAGAGGAATGCAGTAGATTTCATATTACATTTAATTTAGAAGCCAAGCCTTTGGCTACTATGTATACCTCTTTATGATTTATTGTACCAAACGTTGCAAAGTAATTTGCGTGAGAAATGAAGGTAGATTGATGTTGCCTTTCAGATTCCTCATCTTGGTGGATGTGGGTTTGAAGGTACAGACCTAGATGTTCAGCATCTGAGTAAGCTCCAGCGATTCCATCCTGTAACATCATACACCTCAGCCTCTCCAACACACTGTAATCTAGATACCATCGGATTCTTCATTGCCAAATTTATCAAACGTATGGAATGTGAACAAACAGGATAACTTGTACTCTTGAATTGAGCACAGATTTGTTTCATATTTGCAGTGTACCTAGTCAGTTTCCCACATGATGAATGAAATGGTCATTTTGTTCTTTTAAAACACTTGGGTTTTTTAACAGAAAAGCTTCAAATTTTTGTTATTGATCTTTTTACCAAAGTTGTCTGTGTTCCCTTGTACATGGTATGTTCAACCCGTCCAAAAGGGTCCATAGTGAACCTCACAGAGGTTTTGTGACAGTATTACTACACTGTTGTTGCCATGGTTTGAGCAGTCAGGATTGATGATACAAATTGGTCCAGTGAGTTGTATTTCTTAAAGCCACTGTTGTAAACATGCATTTTACTGAACTTGTATTCATACCAAACCTGAAGTTTAATTTTTAAAAAATGGTCATAAATTAAATGTTGATTCATATTTTTGGAATAGGGGTAGTGGATTAAAGCTGCATTCCATCGTTTGCAGCTATCCAAAAAGTAACTGTTGTAATCATTGTTGAAAAGCCTACTTGGTTTAAAGATAATAATGGGACTAAACTCCCTGTGAAATTGTTCTTTCTGGCAAGCTGTTAAATTGTTTTGAAGAAATTAATGAATGGAGGCTATTCTACGATGTGTCTAAAGATGCACTTTTGTTGTTTCAAATGAAGTAATGCACAAATTACCAAACGTGTTAAAAAAGGCACTATTTGTTAAACACGCTAGTCATGGCAAGTGTTATAATTGATTTTCCCATATTGCCAAATTTCAAGGGGCATGTGCCCCCCAGCTAAGCCGCTGGACATAGGGGAACAGTTGTTTGCATTTAAGACCATTTTTTTCATCAAATTTGTCACTAGTATTATATTTGCTTCTGAATCATATCCTGATACAGATGCTTGGCTCATAATTATAGGTGCGACACAATAAGAACTTGGACAGTCTCAAAGTAACAGTTTTATACAATGAAATCATGATTATTGAGGTGTGATGTGTTCGTTTCAGGGGCGAATCCAGGAATTTTTGCGGGGGGGGGGTCATCAGCAGATAAATGCTGAAATGTAGACAGTTTGTCCGGACACTTCAGCCGTGTGGTTGCGATCGCCAAAGCGTGCCGGTTGTTAAGCAAAGCTAATTTTGCCTCCGTAAAATCAATGGGGGGGGGGGGGGGGGGGGGATCATCGTACCAAACTTACAATGGGGCGCTGTTCAGATCCGACGATCGTTATTTTTATATTATGGAATAGTGTACAAATACCCCCGTAACCCAGCTGGCTCTGTCCGACTTTTGTGCACAGGCGGATATTATTACAGTATAATTTTTGTGGGTGTCGGAGCGGGGGGGGGGGGGGGTCACAATACATGCATTTCTACTGGATTTCGGTGAACAAAATTGGAGTCAGAGCTGGGCCCCACCCATCTGCGGCTGCGTTTTGAATTTGACTCTGACTAAATATTTTACCCCTATTAGTGCAGTGCAAATATTCTGGAATTGTGGAAGCGGCGGAGGTATTAATTAGCTTCGTGTGCTGAGAATAGGAAGTTTGTGAAAATTGTAATATTGGGAATGTTTTTGAGAGGTATATTTTGAGAAGTGAGTTTCACTTAAATGTGCAACTCATTCGGTGAAGTAGAAGGTATGACTGTCTCTCAGGCCTCGGTCAAATCAGTGAACACCTTACGACTTTTTATTTCCGCTTACATTACTTCCTCCCCCAGTGGCGCACCCAGGATTTGGCATGGGGGGTCTCACAATTTTGTTGTTTTTAATTTTGTTTTATAAATTTGAATTTTTTTCAAAAAATGTTTTGGCTGCAGAATATAATTGTTTTTTTTTGGCGGGGGACGGACTGTTTTGACGTTGGTGGCGTCATTTTTACCCCTATTTTGCTACTAGAAAATAGGCCACATACCACGGTCAACTAAAACAATTTTGACAACCTCTGGGGGGGGGGGGGGCTCAAGCCCCCAGAGGGGGCCCCCCTCGGGTGCGCCACTGCCGTCCACGTTGTGACAGAAAAAATGGTCGGGCATTTCTTGACTATTTTAAAGCTCGGCCACTAAAATAAGACAACCACATTAATAAATCAAACAGAATCACAAATTCTGCAGAAACTATTAAAACTTGTTGTAATCCCTTTCTCTTTAAACTCGTAAAAACAAAATGTTGAAATAGTCATGCTTCTCTTAACACACTGCTTGGGTATAATTTTGTGCAGGAGAAACGGAACTCGTTTCCAAGAAAAGGAACTCGGTTCCCAGAAACGTAGCCTAGGTTATATTATTGGCCAAAATTCCGTGGTGTGGGGCAATCCCCAGATCGGAAAAACCCCTGACATCTGCTGAATAGTGATTAATTACAAAAAGAACATTTTTGGACGATCAGGTTTCTGTCAGTGTATTATGATACTCTGTTTCTCTCCCCGAATTTTAAAATGAATTTACGCCACTCTCACTTAATAAACGTAAACATAGACTTAATGACGTAATGGCTTTGTTTACATAATATGCGCTTTCCCATGGGAGCTAATTAAAGGGGCCGTCTACTACATAGGAAAGCGCACATGTAAACAAAGCGTGACGTCATTACGTCTCCGGCCTATTCACACAAACAAACAAACTTAAATGGTGGCTTCTTTGGAGAAAAGTTGAAAACCCCTTTAATAATATAAACATTTAATTTGTGTTGACTGTCTTTTGCTATAGTTGGGCAGTCCTATTAAATTTGAAACCAACTTCATGTCTTCAAAGTGTACCAATCCATAGTGACTTCAATATCAGGCGCCGTCCCGCACTTCTCCAATTGTTCACCCTTCGATGTTTTATATTAGATGTTCAAATCTGTCAAAAAACAAAACAAAAACAAAAACAAAAACAAATTGGGTTACATGGGCTAATAACTGATCAGTTGAGATCAGTGGTTCGTTCGTTGTCGAAGACTTGTGTGTATAGGCCTATGAGTACGGTTTTATCATGCGTCTCACGCATATTCTGCGACGCATCACTGGGCGGCAATCCCGGGAGGGGCTGGGGGCTGGGAAGGGGGTGTGGTAATGGCGGTGTCCCACAGTAATCTATCCCAGTACGAACAGATTTCAGCCCATTTTACCTAAAGTTGCACTGTATTTTCCCTGCACCAATCTTTACGTTCCATTCATTCGCACCCCTTATTCTATGAATACCATTCGCTTCTTTGGTCCTTGTGTATGGAATACTATATATGAGCGCATCAGATCTCTGCGGTCCGTGGGTCTTTTTAAGTCTTCATACAAGCAAGCTCTCATCTCCCATTATGCATCTTAGCCTTCTCTCCTGATTGAGTCTACTGCGTTTCTCTTTCCCTCGAGCTGCCATCTATTCATCGTATTGCCTCTGTCATCAGTATACATGTATGTTCCCTGTCTCGTGTCAGCTTACCATTGTAATGTCTTTGTTTGTTTGTTTGTTGGTTTTGTGTTTGTTTGTTTGTTCGTCCGGTGTTGTTTCTGTCGGCTGTTTTCCACAAGCTTCTGCTTATTAAAATAGCTCCATGCTCTATTTGCTTCTTTTATTTTGCTGTTAATTTGATATTTACTGCTTTATTGTTTAATTAAATGTGATTTATAAAATCTACTTTTTTAAAAGACGGGCCTTCAAAATGACTTTGTTGCATATTGTTAACGTTTAAACTAAAATTTCATCGCTGGTGATGTTTGAAGACAATTGTAACGACGATTGTTGAAATCGCATTTTTGGGACGAGACAGGTTTTAGGGTCATTGTGTTTAAATGGTGATATTTTTTGAACGGATTGACAAATTTTAGTAATTTTTTTCATCCAAAAGTAGCTTATGAAATTGGCTTTCCAGTCATTATTATTTTGGGGGCCAAATATTTTTTTAAATATGAAATATAATTGTTGGGGTTTGGGTTCCGCTTTTTTGACTCACCATGAGTGTACATACATTTTGGAACAGCACGCTTTATAGTCAAATTGTGTAAATTCCCCCCGCCCCACACTTTCCGATCTCCCGAGCCGCTAGTTCCCCCCCCCCTCGTGTTGACAAGAAATCGTCGCTGCTGCAACGACACACCAAAAACCTGAAACTAAATTACTCAAAAACCTCTGAGCTTAGGATCCGACTTGATGTTCTTGCAACCAGTACAACAAAAATATGCAGATTGACCAGGTGCATGGCCACTGCTTGGAAACACCCCACCAAGCAAACAGGGTCATTTCATAAAACAGTTTATTAGGTCTAATTCATCTGTTTCTAATCGTGAGCTCATTTTTCCCGATTAACATCTCAGTAACTTTGGTAGGACTCTCAGAACGCGAGGATCTAGGATCTAGAATACAACGTACTATTTATAATGATCTATCACTTTGCAGGATAGGCTGAGACTATTATTAGCCGTCACAAACATCCAAAAAAAATTGAAAGATACCTGTTTCGTCGTTTTCATTCATGGCGCTGAGGACTTCCTTTTTGACATCGGGGTCTCCAATACGAGCAAGAAGATTTGAATGGTGACGTAAATGTCTGAGAAGAAGACCTAGGTCGTATGGATCATTGATGTCAACAGGAAGGTCAATCTTCGTAGATTCCAAAAGGTCACGCAGCTCCTTCATCACTGTCAAAGCAAGGTAGGAATAAATTATTTAAATTTATTTAATTTATCATAAAATTTGTTCTAGTTTGACACTTCAACTATAGGACCAAAATTACACTTTTTTTTGGTGTCGATGCATTTTCGAATTCTAAAGTAAAACTTGCCAAGCACAACTTTAGTTCCACAAATTTCTTAAAGCTACAGTCCATCATTATTTGCAACTATCCAAAAAGTAACTGACGTAATTAGGCCTATTGTTAAAAAACATACTTCGTTGAAAGATAAGAGATTTTTCTTTCTGGCATGCTGTCATTTTGAAGAAAGCAACGAAAGTAGGCCTTTCCAACGGTGCGTCTAAAGACATGCGTCTAAAGAAATTTCCGTTTAGTTCTTTTTTTTTTTATTTGGCGAAGCGCGCGCAAGCGTTGACACAACGCACACGCGCCCTCGATTGCTTTAATTCGTGCGCGACATCGCGTAGCTGCAATCGGCTCAGTGATGAGAACGTGCCTCGGACGCTGAATTCAGGCCCAATTCAAAACAAGATTCAGCAACTTTTGATTTGAAATGGAGATCCTAGAATTTTGTTTTTCTCGAAATAATTTATACAGCTGAAGCTGAGCTGAAACTTCATCAGGTTAGTTGTTCAGCAGCCTTCTTTAGATTTTGAGCATGTTTGTTTCTTCAAACGAACAAAATGCACAAATTACAAATGATGGACTGTACCTTTAACTTGAACTTTACAGCAATGCTTAATTCAAGCAAAATAAGACTGCACGACATAAAACGGAATGAACCAATTTTTGTTGCCATGCACGATTAACCTGAACGAAGATCTGTGCACAAAAAAGGTCTGCTCATGCGTATATGTCCCATATCTGTGTTGAACAAACGAACAAACTTCGTGACTACATTGCAAACATAATTGAATGATGGATTTAAAACATCCACAAATTTGACTTGCATCGAAGCATACCGAAACAGCTCAAAAGGAATCATAAAATAAATAATTGTTACTAAAACTTACATTTCTCATCAATTCCTGCTAGTTCTTCCTTTGGTTCAGTTGGTTCTTCCTTTGTTTCAATTTGTTCCATCTCAACTTCCGCTGGTTGTGACTCCGATTCCACCGGTTGTTTTTCTGGTGGCTCCTCGATTTCAGTTGCTTGGCCAAGTTCTGGTTCAACGTTTGTTTCGACTTCTTTTTCCTCGGCTTCAACTTCCGGTTCTGTCTTTGGTTCTATCTCAGGTATAACTGGTTCCATAACGGGTGCTTCAACCGCTTCTTCCTCGGCTTCTTCGACTGGCTCTGTTTCTGGTTCGACTATCTCTGTCTTCGGTTCAACTGGTTCTACTTCTGCTTCGATTGGTTGTTTTTCGGTCTCTGTAAGATCTGTTTCTGGAATTACTGGTTCCACATCTGGTTCCATAACTATTTCTGGCTTTGGTTCAACTGGTTCTACTTCTGCTTCGATGGGTTGTATTTCGGTCTCCGCAATATCTGCTTCCGGAATAACTGGTTCCACAACCACTTCTGTTTTTGGTTCAACTGGTTCTACTTCTGCTTCGATTGGTTGTTTGTCTGTCTCTGTTAGTTCTGTTTCTGGAATGACTGGTTCCTCATCTGGTTCCATAACTATTTCTGGCTTTGGTTCAACTGGTTCTTCTTCTGCTCTGATGGGTTGTATTTCGGTCTCCGCAATATCTGCTTCCGGAATAACTGGTTCCTCATCTGGTTCCATAACTATTTCTGGCTTTGGTTCAACTGGTTCTTCTTCTGCTTTGATGGGTTGTATTTCGGTCTCCGCAATATCTGCTTCCGGAATAACTGGTTCCTCATCTGGTTCCATAACTATTTCTGGCTTTGGTTCAACTGGTTCTTCTTCTGCTTTGATGGGTTGTATTTCGGTCTCCGCAATATCTGCTTCCGGAATAACTGGTTCCTCATCTGGTTCCATAACTATTTCTGGCTTTGGTTCAACTGGTTCTTCTTCTGCTTTGATGGGTTGTATTTCGGTCTCCGCAATATCTGCTTCCGGAATAACTGGTTCCATAACTATTTCTGTCTTTGGTTCAACTGGTTCTACTTCTGCTTCGATGGGTTGTATTTCGGTCTCCGCAACATCTTTTTCCTGAATAAGTGGTTCCACAACCACTTCTGTTTTTGGTTCCTTTTCTATTTCTGCAGCTTTTATCTCCGTCGGAATGGCTGGTGTTTCTTCAGTTTGGATTGGTTTTCCTTTCTTTCCCTTTCGTCCTTTCTTTCCCTTTCGTCCTTTTTTTCCCTTTCGTCCTTTTTTTCCCTTTCGTCCTTTCTTTCCCTTTCGTCCTTTTTTTCCCTTTCGTCCTTTCTTTCCCTTTCGTCGTTTCTTTCCTTTTCGTCTTTTCTTTCCTTTACGCCCCTTCTTTCCTTTCCGTCCTTTCTTTCCCTTTCGTCCTTTCTTTCCCTTTCTCCTCTTCTTTCCTTTGCCCTTTCCTTTTCCTATTTTTAGCTTCCTTTCCACTGGTTTAACTTGTTCTACTTCTGCTTCTTTTCCGGTCTCTGTTAGTTCCGTTTCGGGAATAACTGGTTTCATAACTATTTCTGTTTTTGGTTCCTTTTCTAATTCTGCAGCTTTTATCTCCGTCAGAATGGCTGGTGTTTCTTCAGTTTTGATTGGATTTCCTTTCTTGCCCTTTCGTCCTTTCTTTCCCCTTCGTCCTTTCTTTCCCTTTCGTCCTTTCTTTCCCTTTCGTCCTTTCTTTCCCTTTCGTCCTTTCTTGCCCTTTCGTCCTTTCTTTCCCTTTCGTCCTTTCTTTCCCTTTCGTCCTTTTTTTCCTTTTCTTCTTTTCTTTCCTTTTCGCCCCTTCTTTCCTTTCCGTCCTTTCTTTCCCTTTCGTCCTTTCTTTCCCTTTCGTCCTTTCTTTCCCTTTCTAACCTTCTTTCCTTTGCCCTTTCCTTTTCCTAAGTTTAGCTTCCCTTCCACTGGTTTAACTTGTTCTGCTTTCGCTTCTTTTCCGGTCTCTGTAAGTTCCGTTTCTGGAATAACTGGTTCCACATCTGGTTCCATAACTATTTCTGGCTTTGTTTCAACTGGTTCTACTTCTGCTTTAATTTGTTGTATTTTGGTCTCCGCAATATCTGCTTCCGGAATAACTGGTTCCACAACCACTTCTGTTTTTGGTTCCTTTTCTATTTCTGCAGCTTTTATCTCCGTCGGAATGGCTGGTGTTTCTTCAGGTTGGATTGGTTTTCCTTTCTTTCCCTTTCGTCCTTTCTTTCCCTTTCGTCCTTTCTTTCCCTTTCGTCCTTTCTTTCCCTTTCGTCCTTTCTTTCCCTTTCGTCCTTTCTTTCCCTTTCGTCCTTTCTTTCCCTTTCGTCCTTTCTTTCCCTTTCGTCTTTTCTTTCCCTTTCGTCGTTTCTTTCCTTTTCGTCCCTTCTTTCCTTTTCGTCCCTTCTTTCCCTTTCGTCGTTTCTTTCCTTTTCGTCCCTTCTTTCCCTTTTGAGGTTTTTCCTCTGCGGCACGTCGTGCCCGAACATGAGTAATTTTACCGAGGTCCTTTGAATCTGAATGGTCGGACGTTGAAACTGATCCTTCGTCTTTCGGAGTAATAGGTTTTGGTTCCAGCGCTGTTGGTAGATACAATGACCTAGAAGCTGCAGAGATACAACGAAAATGTGTAATGAGTCACCCAAAGCCATTAATCACCTGTCCGTGCATACTGTCTTCGATTTCTGCATGTCCATTAATAATAGTCAAACTGGCAAACTAATCAAGAATTGATCAATCGCAGTTAGTAAGATATCCATGCTCCAACTCTGACGCAAATAGTTGACGATCATCTTTTTGTCAAGGGTAAATTTGCCCTGTACTTTTTATATGTTTAAACATTTAAATAAAGGAAAGAGGCCAGACGAGCAAAGAAAAAAAAACACCACCAAAAAAAGCAAAAACGAACAAATTTTAAAAGAATATTAATTAAAAATTTCTCAAACTCTTATGAAGGTTGCATAACAATAACTTGTTGAAGTTTATCAGCTTAGTTTGAGAAAAGAGAGAAACGTTTGCACAAGTTTTAGTTTCTTGTAACTGGATTCTGTGGCTAACGCACCAAAAAAAAGTTGCCGCGAGCAAACTTTCTTCAATTACGTTCAATGATTGTTTTCTTCCGGATATCTGACCATTTCAGGCGGAATATTTCACAGGTTATTTGGTACTATGCAGTTTTCACTTTGAGCAAGGATTTTCTCGTTTAATCGGTCGTTTTTTCCGGGTAATTGCACATTTTCCTACGTTCCTTTACGTGCAATCAGACCGAAGTTGTAGCCTAGGTATGAGATTGTTACACTTACAGCATAGCAACATGAGTTCTAGAGGCGAATGTAGATCGAGATCCAGTCCCTGCTGTTTACACGACTGACTCGTCAGGAGTTTGATGACATGATAGAGATCCACACCGTTAGCGTATGCTGCCTCCGCCATGTTCAGCAGATCACACGAACAGGATAATTCTTCCTCGTTCATAACCCTGTACGAGACATGAATTCATCAACACATTTTAGGACCACGCAGGATTTTCGAAAGGGATCATTATTTTCAAGGTCTACACTTCACCAAATGATATTTCTTTTTACACCATACACCATTTTAACTTGCTATTTTAAAGGCATTTTTACCAAAGTTAGTCAAATGAATACACTATACTAGAACCAGTCCAGCGAATCTTTGTGTGCATAAAAGCTACCCACAATATGGGCCTTTATAACAGAGGGTTGCAGACGCCACAAAATTAATAGGATATTATGTAGTTTGTTCTTTTAAATTAAACACGCAAGTTGAAAATTTCGTGGGAGAAACAACTATCGAATTCGTTGACGAGCACGGAATCATCTTGAAGCAGAAACGAGATTTGTTACAAGACTAAGTTTCAATCATACGTTCTCGGCAAACTAAGCGGGAATTCATTTTGTTTGTATATTTATTGGGTTTTTCATGCCTTTTGAAGTTGTGTTGCCGTGCTCTTCAACAAATTCGTTTTTGGACACAAACACCATCTCTTTGCGAGCAGACTGGCTCCCGGGTCGTACATTGTCGATAGTGATTGTTGCCTATCCCGCGAGATCGGTTACCGGTATTAATCGAAATTCTATACAGTCGTTTTCCTAGTTCCGGATAGCAAACATCATTCAGGCTGCTTTCGGCTCAACTACTCCAGGAATTCAAGTGACATTGGTTTAAAAGTTTACCTTGAGTGATGGAGAGACTACAAAATAATCTTCCAAATTTAAGCTCTTTTTATTATGACTTTACGACGTCAAAAGTACCGATGCCGCTTTTCCTAGTTCCGGATCGGTTCAATCAGTTCCGAATCGATCAAAAACTGATTCGTGCGAGAAAAAAAAATCGCGCGAGAAAATCAATTTTTCAGCCAGAACCACCCCGAATCAAGCACATTTTCTGATTAAGTATTATTTAATTTTCCAAAAATAGTTCATTCCAGAGAATTCCAGTAAATTTTCAAAAGAGAGTTAACGTAAATAATTTTGAAACTTTTGTCTACAGCGCAACGGCACGAACTCACGCACGGACCGAAAACCTTGCACACGGCACAGAATACGTCACACAAAATCGATTAACGCGCGTGTAGTTGGGTCGTAAGTGCACGCGCGATCCGGAACTAGGCAAAGCATACGGTCATTTGTTGGCTACAACTTATTTTGATTGAACACACATTCGATGGAAGAGTTTATACGACTGCAGTGAATGACAAAAATATTCGAAACCACACGGTACGAGAGAAATACTGAGGAGAAAATTCATCGTTGATTTGCAGCTCCCGCGATTTTCTACAAACGGTCCAAACATGTCAAAGTGCGAGTCGGAAATGTGGCCAAAATTCCATTTCTAAATTTGTTTTCGAAAAAATCTGTGTGTATCAGGAAGCTTACATTTTCCTTTTCAAAATGCACTTCGTCAGAATATTTTTATTGGAGACTAGTCCAAAAGAGGTAGGTTTTTATTTGAAGCCATCCGGAACTAGGGAAAATCCGGAAGTAGGAAAACGACTGTAGTGCAATAACTAAACATTTGCCATTTTCCGGTCGATGTCTCATTTTGGGAAAGGGAATTTTTAAGGATAACGTTCGAAAATAGCGAACCTGTCACGTCAGCTTTAGTAAGATATTTATTCAACAAGTACATAAATACTCACAATGTCTTGAGGCTTGCTAATCCAATGAGCACTTTCTGGAGTTTATGAAGTCCTTCGATGGTCCTGTGATACAAGTATCAAAATAGAATCGTCCAAAATGAATCACTAAAGATGTGACGTTAACACATTGGGGTGCGTTCGAGCGTGCTACTCGTGTTAACACGAGTATACTCCTGAGCTCCCGAACGGCAGGAATACCACCCGCGGGTTAGAAACAGTATGTGCTGTCTATAATTATGCTCTTGCACTGAGAGTAATGCGCACGCAACATTTCCCTACACTCGTGGGTAGCAAGAGTAACACGCTCGATCGAACGCACCCTTGAAGTCTGGTTTGTACTCGGCGCGAAACTAGCGAACGCGAATTTATGACTCCACGGCAAGTATTATTTTTTTGTATTAATTGTATTGTATAGATGACTTAAAAGGTCTCTCTCAAATAACGTCATTTCCTACAGACCAGCCACGTGCATCGGCATTTCGAGCGCATGGGCGTCGCCAGGATCATTTGTAGGGGGGGGGGGGGCAAAGCACATTTCCCCCAAATCCCTGTACTTTTCCAGCATATTCTCAATTTGTTTTTGGGTAGTCAGGCTGGCGTAGCGGTACTTCCCGAGGGATCCTTGGTTTCATTACCAGAAAGAGAGGCCAAAAAATAATTAAAGTCATTTCGTGTAAATACTTCATATAAGTGTCCACGCTCAAAAAATCGATGAAAGGACTTGAAAGGGAGCAAGTAACCAAATAGACTTTTTAAACTTTTATTTTGCCCGTTGCCATGGTTACGGGCCATTATGTGTTTTGGCAATTTTTGGTCCATTTTTAGGCTGCAAAAATTCATTTTTTTTTGCGTTATTTTCAAAGGTCATCCTGCCAAACTGCGAAGTAATGTCACAAAAGTAACTATATCACGACAAAGTATCATCGTTACCCTTACAAAAAAAAAAAGAAACACTTCTGAAAAATCTCCTTTATATTATTTTTGGACCCTATAATACAGCATGTTTTTACAACTAGCAAAATTGCATTTTTTACCCCATTTTTCAACCTCCAAAATGGCACTTGTCATGGCACTCAGAATAATTCCCCTTAGGCTACAGTTAGTTCAGACATTGGTCTTTTCATATCTGGTGAGAACATTTCGGGTTATTGTATATCCTTTGTGCAGTAGCGCTCCAAAAATGGTAAATTTCACAAAAACCTTAAAAAGTGTATTTTCAGTGTTTTCCTTTGTTTTGAGTAATAACTTGTATAATTGGTATTGTTCATGAATCTAGCACATTTTCACAAACAGAATCAGACTGTGTATCATTTTTAGACCAGTGGATGAATAGTAGGTCGTGTACTCTCCCACACACCTGGCTAGGCCCCGCCCACTCCCCGTGCCACCGAATTTTGAACTTGTATGTTGCATAACGAAACAAATGTAAATATATAATATGCAAGTGAACACTTTAGAAATAACATAGACTTCCTTTTCACAGCCTCCCCTTCTCCATTCCGGGGGCATTGCTTGGGGTTGAGGGTGGGGTGAGACCACCCACCAATAAGTTGGCATTGTCGGTAAAATCATTGTCTCATGGGCAAAACTCCTGTGTTTGCAAGCCGCAATGAATAATAATGGCCATATCCATTGTCCTCTAATCTGATTGAAGTGCATTCATTAGTTAAAATAATGATGTCTAGTCTTCCCCTCCCAGCTAGGCCTTGCACAATGCCCCTTCCCTTGCCACCAAATTCTGATTTCGATTGCTACTTGTATTTGCCTACATTAAAATTGTAAATAGATATAAATTTGCAAGTGAACCTTTCATAATTTACACCAACAGGCGTACCCGTCTCACAGCCCACCCCCTGCCATCCCTCTTCCTACTCCAGTGCTCATTATGAGCAACTACCCCTCCCCCTCCCAAAGAATTCAACATGTATTATTGTTAAGGTATTGCCTTGCGGAAAGTCCACATATTTATATGCACTATGTAGGTTTGGCTATTTTTTTGTCAACGTGGGAGTGGTTTGGAATATCTGGAAAGCGGCGGGGGGGGGGGTGTAATATGGATAAATGTACATGGTACATGTACATAATACTGTAATTTTTTTAAAACAAAATTGCATTTATTTTATTATTTTCAATACAGAGAAGTGATATGGCGATTACGAGAGCAAATAACTCCTATTTTATATTAAAATACATGTAGACTACTTTAAAACAACTGTCACTCTAGTGAAAACTCAAAATGGCCTATATTTTGATTGAATTGTCTTGGCCCTACGTGTAATGGTCAGATCCAGCACATATAAAGTCGAATATAGTACCGTTGTGGGTGCTGCTATTACCCTCCAAAATCGTGATTTCGTAATCAGCATGACATTTTGAGTCTCTTCCAAACTGTCATCAGTGGTCAACATGGCCACACTTCTGTGGTGCATCCATTGTTGCATGACAAGCAATTTAAATGTATTGGTGCTTATAAATTACAGGTTTTTTTTGTAAACAAGCAGGGAATGTTTTGTTAATTAAAAAAAATACCAACTTCCCCCCCCCCGAACCACAAGTGCTTACAGATTTTAACCCTTTCTGGCGGGTAGTTGTTTTTTTTTTCTGAAAGGGAGGGGTACAGCACACTGTGATCCCCATGTTGATTTGCATATACTTTGACCGATTTTCCTACAACTGATTTGGCAGGAAAATATTGGTTGACCATTACTCTATAATATGACATTCTTGGTTCTATTGCTGTTACCACTAGAGGTGTTTTTTTTAAATATATTTTTCCAAACTGTTGTCTAGATAACATTTTGGGCATGATTTCTGTATTTTTGTGTGTAAACATTCATCCCAGTCAGGCAATTGTATGCATCCATTGTCACTGCCATAGGGACTATATACTTTCTGATTTTATTCCAAACAAATTGTGGGTTTTCAACCCGAATTGGCAAAACTAAAGTAAATATTCATAATTGTGGTGATGTTATTTAATGCTCTGCAATTGATTCATGTAATAACTAATCAGAAATGTACATCAAAACAAAGAAAACGGTACAGATTGAAAGGTGAAAATTACATGGGCTTCTCGCACCAATGGCGGCCATGTTACATACTGAGCATGTATTGTTGTTAATTATATAGCCATGAATTTCAGTCTAAATATAATACTTTCGTGATAGGTTTTGAAAATTGAAGTATATTTGACTTTAGTTTATGAGCACAGATGTCTTTACAACGGTTGCCATGGTAATAATGAACACACTACAGAAGTGTGTCTGGTGCCATGGTGACCACTGTTAAAAGTCACAAAATTTCATGTTGATCAGGCAAATACAAATTTGGAGGACACTTCCACTAACAAAAATACTTCAGACCCTAACTACATGTATATAGCGAATGCAAGTCAGAGTGAAATTCATGCAATCAAATTGATGCTGTGCTCTCTCGGAGTTTTCACTGGAGTGATCCTTGTTTTAAAGTACATGTATTTCAATATAAACAAATAAGAGTTAGTTGCTCTCTAAATCGCCAGATCTTTTTCGTTTTGAAAATAATAACATAAACGTCATTTTGTTCACCACACCTTAACTGTAATTCCAAAGTAACTTGCAATAAAAAAATGTTTACAGTGTACATGCGTGTGTCCAGATCACCCTTCCCACCCCCCACCCACCCCTGCGACATACACACCCCTTCTTCTCCTCGCTTTTCGGATATTCCAAGCTGCCCCGTGTTGTAAAAAAAAGCCACCTTACATAATTCAGACGTTCCCCAAGGCCATGCATGTAATATGTAATCTGAACAAAATTGTACTTGCTGACTTGTTGGGGGAGGGCGTGGTTCTCTTTTGAGCTTTGTGAATGGGGGTGGCAGGGGAAGGGGAAAAAAGGCTGTTGGTGTAGATTGTAAGAGGTTCACTTGCAATTTGATATCTAGTATTTACAATTTAATTTAGGCAAATACATGCAGAAAATCTGAATTTGGTAGCAAGGGAAGGGGCGGGGCCTAGCTGGGAGGGGAGGACTGGACATCATTTTGAATAATGGTGTGCTTCAATCAGAGGACAATGGATATGGCCATTATTATTCATTGCGGCTTGCAAACACATGAGGTTTGCCCATGTGACAATGATTTTACCGACAATGCCATGTTATTGGTGGGAGGTCACACCCCACCCTAAACCCAAAGCAATGCCCCCGGGGTGGGGGAAGGGGAGGCTGTGAAAAGGAATGCAACATACAAGTTCCAAATTTGGTGGCACAGGCCGGGGAGTGGGCAGGGCCTAGCCAGGTGTAGGGGGAGTACACGACCTACTATTCATCCACTAGTCTAAAAATGATACACAGTCTGATTCTGTTAGTGTGACAATGTTGCAAGATTCATGAACATTACCGATTATACAACTTATTACTCAAAACAAAGGAAAACACTGAAAATACACTTTTTAAGGTTTTTGTGAAATTTACCATTTTTGGAGTGCTACTGCACAAAGGACAATAACCCAAAATTTTCTCACCAAATTTGAAAAGACCAATGTCTGAACTAACTGTAGCCGAAGGGAAATTATTCTTAGTATCCTGGCAAGTGCCAATTTGGAGGGATAAAAATGGGGTAAAAAATGCAATTTTGCTAGTTGTAAAAACATGCTGTATTATAGGGCCTAAAAATAATATAAAAGAGATTTTTCAGAAGTGTTTCTATTTTTTTCTTGTAAGGCTAAGGATGATACTTAATTTGTCGTGATAAAGTTACTTTTGTGACATTACGCAGTTTGGCTGGATGACCTTTGAAAATAACGCAAAAAATGAATTTTTGCAGCATCAAAATTTTGCACGTTTGTTGCTTCAAACGAACAAAATGCGCAAATCAAAAATGATGGACTATACCTTTAAAAGGGGGCTTGTTCAGAAAAAAGGCACTTGTTGACAAAATAAGGGCACTCTTTACAACTATTGGGAGGGGGGGGGGGTAAGCGCTGGTGAAAACAGGGCATTTTAATGGAATAGGGCAGTCTTTTCAAAATATTGGGGGGGGGGGGGTAAATACCCCCTTTCCCCCCGCTCGCTACGCCTATGAACAAGCAACGTTTTCCGAGCCGTATACGTATCCCGGGTGTAACAAGGCCCGGTTGGCTGTAGCTAGCTGTGCATCCTCGACATGCGTGAGGGTCGAAACTACAACGTGCTGCGTATTATGGGCGGAATCGACGGTCAAAACACGACTGTTCGGTAAATTGTACTCAAGTCTACGGGTTTTCCGAGAAAAGGACGCTTTTGACTCACATGATCCTTTGTCCATCATCTTGTTTGGTAATGCTGTCATTTTTTCCATCAAGCCCTTCCAGGTGATTAAGCCTTTAGAGGGAAAGAAATGGCAATTTAGAAGGTGGTGACCATAGAGGAATGAAGAGTTGGGGCAAATAATCGAATAGGCCGAAGTCAATTCATCGTGAAGTGTTAAAGGGCTTAGCTTAGAGTTCTTTAAGCCAAAGTTCTATACATTGTCTAAGAAAACCTTAAGCTCAATTATCTTTACCGTGCCAGAATCACCTTTAAACGTAACTTTTCCTAAATTTTGTGTCGAATGGAAGAGTAGGCTTTATTGAAGAAAGTTTCGCAAATATGTAAAGTTTGACCTTAGTTTGAAGCAAAACCGAAGTCGACGCAAGAAATATTACAAGTGACCGAAACGAGTGTTTTTAACATGCAAAGTCGCTGATTCCGGTAGCCGTCGACGAAATCATAAACACAATATCTTTAAAATGCACTTCAAATAAAAAAAAAATAGTCCTTAACTAGAGGTCAAGGCGTTTGTTGAGTTACAAACGCAGAGTGGTCGGGCCGACAACTTTTTCATTAGACACAGCCCAGTTAGGTTATGAATAATTTTTATGTCAGAACGAAGGATCACGAAAATTTAACCTTTCCTGTACAACCAATGATTTTGTTTTATAACAAAAAGGTATCATTTTTTTCAGTAAAAAAATAGCATTACGACGTCATCATTTGAAAGGGCGCCCTCTAGCGGCACATCAAATAGGGTTTCCTTTTTTTATTTAAAAACCATCCCTCAAAATTTAACCAAATCGCCCCTGGATTTTTTTTTATCAACTACATAAAACTTCATATAAAGAGGTTTCAAAATTATGACGTCATGAGACCGGAAGTACTGTAGGGAGAATTTGAAAATGATCATTTTTAAAAATTCCATCATACGATCCCCGTCTTATGACTTTGTTCGTAGCCCAAATAATGATATCCGTTACAATGTTGACCTTTGGGTATTTAATGCTGTGACGTCATCAAACCGGAATTTGGGTGTTATTAATACATACACTCACATTTTCCATATTTTCATACGTTATTTTAACTTAATAGTGAACATACATGTGTCCCCTCCAAACTAAATCAATATTCACTTTCCCTTTTTGGACTGATGACGTCATCAAACCAGAATTAACTTGTACGTGTACATAAAATGTGTACTGAAATTTGATACATCTTTGTTTAAACAAAATCATTGCTTGTACTGGAAAGGTTAGATTTTCGTGATCCTTTGTTCTGACATAAAATTATTTATAACTTAACTGGGATGTGTCTAATGAAATAGTTGTCGGCCCGACAACTCTGCGTTTGCAAGTCACCAAACGCCTTGTACTCTAGTTTGTGTATGTTATAGATGGCCAATTCCGGCGTGACAGACAGACAGATTTACACTACCTTTTTTTTTTTTACAAAGGCCTGCCACAACCAATATGTATGGAGTCACTATCTAATTTATGTATAAAGTCAAAGCAAACCCTCTATATTTCAATTAAAAAACAGTCCATGAAACTACAGGATTCAGTGGCTGTAGTGACAAAGTAAATCCAGCGTGACAGACGGGACGGAAATTACACTCCATTTTTTTGAAAACGACTTCCATTGGAAAAAGCTATCCGTTCCAATGAGAAATTTAATATTTTTTTTCCTTCAATAATCAGTGAAGACTTTACTTAGTAATTCAAAACAGAGAACTGGAAACACCAGGCTCATTAATGGTGTGACAGACGGGACGTGACAGACGGGAAATTTTTATATACTGAATAAATGTAGGCACAAGCATTATTATTTTTAAGGAAATGAAATATATTTATAAAAACCAGAGGAGTCTACGAAAAAAGTGATGTTTGACTTTTTTTTTATCTTAGAGGTGATTGAAAAAAATGTGACAGAAGGGACAAAAAATATAACAAATTGGTAAAATGTGACTGACGGGACAGAGTTTGAGATGCAATATCGGATCAACTATCAAAGGATATTTTTATGTTACTTTCTAGGTGAGGGCACCTTGATAGCAGTTAGGAATTAAAGTTTGAATCAAAAAATCTTTTCATGTAAGAAAAAAACAACTTTTTCATGTTTTTTTTGTGTGGCAGACGGGACATTGCAACATGTTTTTTTTTCTTCAAAATGGTGCAAGACTGTCATGTTTCATCTTTTGGTTTAAAATTCTATAGTGGTGGATAGGGACGGCAGAAGACTTCATTGTCAACCAAAAATTAAATCTTCGAAGCATAAGAACTGTAACAGATGGGAACTCAAATTTCCATCACAAAATAGAGGAAAACGCTACTTTTGTTTCTCAAAACTTAAAGCCTTGATAAAAATCCAAGTGCAGTAGCAAAAAAACAAGAACTGTTTCTGAAAGCTTGGTTTGTCTAAGTTTCCAAGAAAAAATGATTTGCGTGTAGAAAATGTACTTTGAAAATTCATGAGTTTGCAACTATTATCCAGAATTAACCAGGAGTGATTTTGTTGCAATTGTTTTCAGTGGTTTCACTCTTCACATTGGATTACCCTATTAGCATAAACAAAAACGAATTCAACAAATTGATGTCATTTTTCAGTTTTACAATGTTGAATATATTTACTGCATTATATTGTTTATTCAATTGAACAAAAAATAAGTCAGCTTACATGAGATGTTCCAGTTGTGGCATGCTACGGGAAAGAGCTTTTAGGACGATCGGATTAGCTGCATGTAGTTCCCTAGAAATAAAACAAACAATAGTTTAAAAATCAAGACTTGAAAATTAGAAAGCTCAAAGTGGAAATATAAGTGAAATACCATAAATGTAGTTTAAAGTTGCTCTCGCAGTACTATTTTCGAATTTCACCCAAAAAGTATGTTTTCAAATTGCTAATTTTCTAAAGTAGAACAAAAGATATTCACTTTTGAATAGACGTTGAACAAAAAAGCCACCCATGCACCTTTGTTGGAATATTTACAATCGCATTATTTACGGCCCGCCAAAAAAACCAACGAATATTTTGTGCGCTCTTGCCGCAAGAACAACCAAAATAAAACTCATTTTCAGAGGGTCGAAAACGGCCAAAGTATAAAAAGTAGCTGTTTTCCGGTACAAATATAGCATACATATTAGAAATAATGTTGAAGAGCATGGTAGAGCAATTTTAAGAATCATCTTTTCAAGTGTGCCACCGAAAACACTGATCTGCTTTTTCAACATTAAACATCTTCAGTACATGCGTTTTGCGTAAGTTTGGGCACAAAGAGTTACCTTCACAAATGGAAAGTGCTCTAAATTCAATAAAATTGAACTGCATGGGTTTCTATTCATTTTATTAAAATTCCAAAGAGTTGTTGTTACCAAGTATTTAGTATAATGCCTTTCTGCATTCGCATCAACTTTCTTGCGTATTCTGAGGCAATTCAAGAAAGGACCTTTAGCATTCCATTTATTATTTTTGTATTTAAGTATCATAACGGTTGAGGGGGGGGGGGCCTACTGTTTTGAATGCCACAGTTGTCGAGTGAGAGGGGCCGACATTTTGTAATGCTCCAAAACTTGTCTAAGATATTTACTACAGTTGTAACTGTCAGTTTAGGTTTGACTTTCTTTTGATATTCGAGAATAAAAAAGCCCTCTAAATCTAACTCTTGTAATGGGCAAACCATTTCCAAAAAGATGTGCAATAAATCTTTACAATTGGATCTATAATAAATTTGCAAGTCTCCTATCCTATTTTTCTAACAGGAGCAACTCAAAAACGCACAATTCAGGTCAAAATGATGGCTGTGGCTGTGAATATTGCCAAATTACATGCTCTGTAAAAGTTAGCTAAAGGGATGTCTAACCTTAAAGATAAAAAAATACATCGTTGATCCTCTAGGTGCAACATTATTTATGTCATATACCCGTATCGGAATAATGTTTAATTCAAACTAAAATTTATCCTACATCAACTACATACTTTGGAAGTTTTAACTGTTATTGTTTGATATTTAACTGTTATTTGTTTGGGAGCCCGTGCGAAATAAAACATTTTACGAATTTTGTTTTGAAAGTATTGATTGCAATTTCACGGTTATTTCTTGGCCTAGAATAAGGTATTATATTTCAATTACAATTAGCACTGAGTATTGACAAAGTTGACTGAGAAAGCATATACCATGATCAACAGCCAAGTTTTACATGTGTTCCAACTTCGTGCAATGATCATTATGCCAGATGAAATAACTTCACACTTGCCATTTGTGTGAAAATGTTTCGTGCAAAGACAAAATATGCCCAAACATGCATGTCTATGAACTGTATGTAAAAGGGGCATTTTTTAAAGGTTTATGTTAAAGGGCACTCCTTCAATTGTTTACAATGTACATGAGGTCACTCGGAAAACTTATAAAGAACCAAACAACAAACAAAATATCCCTCCTTGTCTTGACTTAAAATTATGACTGCGTTGAATTTGTAGATATTCCTTGTAGAGACTATACTTACAATTTCCTAGTATGACTAGGAAGAGGTTGAGTGCCATTGTAGGGTTTCTGACATGATGCCTTTCCAATACCACATCGACATCCTGCAGGACATGTAGTGTCTTCAGCTTGGCACAGTAGACTCATTAACACCAGTGCCGTTAGTGTTGCAACAAGTTGCATCGGCCAATCCATTTTGGCAATGGTTGACTGTAAGACATTCAATTATGAAGGTTTGTCAGAAAAATATTTGGCAATGCTCCACCTACAAAGGGCCTAGACCCATAACAAAAGCGAACGTTAACGTTATAGTCCTATAATAAACGTAGCCTAATGTTTGGAGACGTCTCATCGTTGAATATCGCACGCACTGATCAAATGTATAGGCTATAGGCGTATTTTCCGAAGAAAACAAAATGTAATTTTGAGAGACGGGAAATCGTTTTCTGAGTTTTGTGTTGTGAAGTCTCAGGCCTAAGTCCAAGACGACCTTTAGAACGGACATTGACATTTTATCCTTTCAGCAACCAGCTCAAACGACCGAACAAAAAAAAAAGTAAAAGGATTGAAGAAGGCCGATAGACCTATATTACAGTCGTTTTCCTAGTTCCGGATGTTTCCTGTAGCCCGGGATCGCTTCAAATGAAAACCTACCTCTTTTAGATTGGTCTCCAATGCTATTTTTTTCTGACAAGTGCGTTTTGAAAAGTAAAATTTAAGCTTCTTGATAAACAAATATCTTTTCGAAAAAAACTCACTGTGTGCACAGTGATGTTCTATATGGGGTCGTGGGGTTTTCGGTCCGTGCGTGTTCGATCGTGCCGACGCGACGCGTCGCGCGCGCTGTGGACAAAAGTTTTTAAACTCATTTAGCCTAGGCCTACGTTAAAGATGTAGTCCATCATTTGTAATTTGTGCATTTTGTTCGTTTGAAGCAACACAAGTGTTCAAAATCTAATGAAGGATACTGAACAACTAACCTGATGAAATTTCAGCTCAGCTTCAGCTGTATATTCCGAGAAAAACAGCATTCTAGGATCTCAATTTCAAATCAAATGTTGCTGAATCATGTTTTGAATTGTTTTGAATTGCATCTATACGCGATGTCGCGCACTGATCCGACGAATTATCCGGTTCGTTAGTGTGACACTATCTCAAATCAACCATGCGTACATCACACGGTGTAGACTAGCACGAATGGAACCGGACGTTAACGCACCTCGAGCGTTTATCCAATGGGTGCTAGTAATCAGTGGTGCACGCGCGTGTTTGACGTATTTACTAACGAACCGGATAGCAACTGCGCGCGCGTGTGCGTCGTGCCAATGCTTGCGCGCGCTTTGCCAAATAACAAAACGAACTACTGAATTTAAATGTCTTACACTGCGTCTTAAGACGCACCGTTGGAAAGGCCTTCTTTCGTTGATTACTTCAAAATGACAGCTTGCCAGAAAGAATAATTTCACAGGGAGTTTAGTCCACTTACCATCTTTCAACCAAGTATGTTTTTCAACAATAATTACGCCAGTTACTTTTCGGATGGCTGCAAATGATGGACTATAGCTTTAAAGTTTAATTCTCTTTTTTAAATTTGCTGGAATTCTCTTGAAGGCCCAGTTTTCGAAAAACTAAAAAGCCTAGGCCTAATGGGCTATTTAATTTTTCGAAAAACAGTTCAATCACGAGTAGGCCTACTCCAGCAAATTTTGAATAGGCCAAGATAATTAACGTAGGCCTAGGCTAGGCCTAAATGATTTCGAAACTTTTTTTCTCGAAAAATTAGGTAGGGTGGGACACCGTATACTACATGTACTATTATCGCGGTACTTATCACGTTTCTCGTTCGGAATCGAGATTGCCCACTAACCTACCCGAATTGTCCTGTCTTTTATGTTGTATAACTCTTCCTTTTCAAATTGAAATAAACAAAACCGACGGTGGTGTCTTTTTTTTTCTGTGTTCGAAGCCTGTGAAAATAGACATGCTTGGAGTGTGCAAACGGAGGTGTACTCCGTATTATCGCGGTTGGCGGTTTTTCTAATGATCTCAGCTTTTTTTCATAGTTAATGTTTGACCAAAACTTCCCATGATTAAAGTCTGATATTTTCCCTGTAACGTTCAAGTTGATTAGAGACTAGCCTATATGCCTATGCCTATATGCCTGCAGGATGATTTCTTAAGACCATGTCCCTGACCCTTCCCCGAAAGGAGAACAACAATCATTGAGGCAAGTCTACTGATTGGCGATTGGGGGCGCCATTCACTTTACACGGTGTGCCGTTTTATTATTTTGTTAACGCGCTGTCCTTATTTTGATCCCGCAAAGGTTTTCCGATTTCGCGGTGGAAATATCGTCCTTTGACTTCATTTTGTGTTTGCAGCTGTAGAATGGGAACCAGACAATGGAACTTTCATGGACAGAGCACCATTAAAGATTTATGTTAAAATAAAGACGGTTAGTTTTAGCAGACACGGTGAGGGAAAATTGCAAGTTTTGGAAAACGTTAATAGGGCCTAGCCTAGGCCCTATTTATTAAAAATAGACACAACATTTTTTAATCGTCCTTTTTATACTCGGTAAAAAGTCCTTAAATGCATGGTGAACTGGATAAAAATCGCAACTTGAAGGAGTTTTGGCAACGCAAAAAGGAAATTTCCTATAGGCCTAACTATTGGGATGCCGCGATAATAGGGAGTCCGACCATAGGCCTATTACTTTATCAGAAAATGTGCTTGGTTCAGTCAGGGTGGTTCTAGCTGAACAATTGAGTTTCTCGCGTGATTCAAATTTTTTGGCGCGAAGCAGTTTTTGATCGATTCGGAACTGATTAAACCGATCCGGACTAGGAAAAAGGGCATCGGTCATGTCGGTGCTTTTGACGTCGCAAAGTCAAAATTAAAAGAGTTTCAATTTAGAAAATTATTTTGTAGGCTAGTAGGCCTAGTAGGCCTATAGCCTATCTCCATAATTGAAGGTAAACTTTTTAACCAATGTAATTTGAATTTGTGGATTAGTTGAGCCGAAATCAGACTGAATAACAATTAGGCCCTAGGCCTAACATGATAATGATTGCGATGCGAAATTAGGAAAACGACTGTAGGCCCCCTAATAATTAGGCCTATATCCCAGATAGGCTTATTTAAACTTTCATTTATGTAACAACAGAAACGGCAAGCTTGCAATGCTTTATATGATTTGTCCTTACCTTTAAGCTTCGTTAAATAGTCGTTTGCAGTAATATTCTTCTTCAGTGATAACTTTTAGGTGATGGTCCTCCTGCATGCAAAATTCAACTGTGATCGATCGTTCGTCTGATGCGCGTAAAAATGCTAAATTTTCAAACGATGTCCGCGTTCCTGAAAATTTGCACGCGTTTTCCAATGAAAAATAGCGCTTGGCGCTCAATATTGCGTAGCCCGGGCGCGTGGGCGTCATCACTGCGTTCGCGTGTGAGACGCAAGCAATCGGACGCGCAAGCATGATGGGGCGGCGTGCGCGCACGGATCCTCTGTGTACGTGTAGAAGATCCGTGCGCGTTCCTTCACTTTAGATCGCTAAAGGATGCAAACCACTAGAAACTGCGAGGCCATTTATATTTTGTGATCCCACAGGTACTTTTGAATAAAAAAAAGCTGCACCCTCTGGTTGCCATGAGGCATCCATGTCCTGTTTGTGTCGAGTAACGATGTACATCCTTATACTACGCAAACTAGAAGGAATAAGGGTGCACCCAATCAAATAAATTCCCATGGACAACAGTGATAAATGCCCATACTTCAAAATTCTATGAAAAATAATACTCAAAACTCTTACAGGTGTTCAGGCTGCACCGAAAAATGTTGATCAACATGTCATCTTTCATCTTCTTTTCAATTTGGTGGGTTGACCAATGACGTTTCGTGAAATTCTCACCCAAAAAAGACGACCCCTAAAACGAGTGAGGTGGCCCAAAGTAGAAAAGTAGCCATCTTGAAAACGGATCCCTCCACAACATGGCTAAATAGCGCCACTTTCGGACCCAATTACATCCAAAATGCCCTGAATTGGAAGCCCCAAATCCGGGCCTAAGGGTGTATTGCCGGTTACAGCCCGATAGTCCGACGGTTCGATAGTCCGAAGGTTCTTTAGTCCAAAGGGTCATTAGTCCGATGGTTCGTTAGTCCGAAGATTCAATAGTCCGAAGGTTCGATAGTCTGCAGGTTCGATAGTCCGAAGGGCCCATTAGTCCGAAAATAGAATAAGGTTAATTAATCCGAAGGTTCAATAGTCCGAATAGACGATAGGGTTCGATAGTCCGAATCGACAATAAGGTTCGATAGTCCTGTGACCCTGGGTGTTAAGAGTCGAAAAGTGGGAAGAGGACTCGGCGATTTGGTTTCTGTTTTGTGCTGGTTTATTCTGCATAAACGGGAAAAGGAAAGCAAATTATGACATGGTCTTTCCTCGTCTCCGGTCAGCATTGCAATCACAATTAATATTTACAAACACATAATTCAATGGAATAAACAAAACGAAATTAGAGTGCAAACTATCTGCATCTATATTATTTCTAGGAAACACTTAACTATTAAGTTAACGATACGATTAAAGAAAAATGGAAAATGGCGGCTTTTGGTGGTTTCCCGCCAAACCGTATCTTACGGCCGCCATCTTGGAAAATTAAGGTTTTTACTGAAAATAGCATCAACATCCAAGATAATGAAACAAAATACTTCAAACTACTCGTTCCACAAGATCAAGAAGATAATGCAATAATAATTTACAGTAAATCTAGACTGAATAAGATTAAGAATAATTCAAAACTGAAAGTAAGCGGGAACATGTTCACACGAATCTGTGCTTCGAAAGAGCAACACTTACAAGTAGAATTATTCAGGAAATCACATGAATACATCTACATACTTGTTCATGATAAATTAACTATGAAATGTAAAAGGTAAAAGTACAAAATATTTACGTGCATAAACGGGAAAAGGAAAGCAAATTATGACATGGTCTTTCCTCGTCTCCGGTCAGCATTGCAATGACGCTAACCAGGGTCCCGTTGACTACGGCTATTGTGATTGGCCGTTGGTGATTTAAATAATAATGAAACAGATTTAAATAAGAAAACAGTACTTTGGGAGAAACTACAAAATTATGGGGGGGACCTTTTTTTAGGCTTGTGACACCTCTAATGTTATACATCTCTTGCAGGGTTTGTGGAGTGCTGTAGTATGCTGGAAAGACAAAGAACATGCTCAAGAAGCGTTTCAAGGCTTTTGCTCATCGCGTATCGTCGATCGACTGTCAACACCAAGATACTGGACACCCCTGTCGGTCACCACCTCAACCTTCCTAACCGTTCCATATCTGATAGGATTTTACAGGGTATAGAGTCAATTGGCCGTCGCAAGGACTCAGTTCGTCTAAGCAGGGAGAAAGTGTGGATGAAGCGTCTATGTGAACCACATGGTCTCAACATCCAACAAGGCAACGATTATTCTTTTCCTTATTTTCCTCAATTGTCATGCATACCCCCGCCCTGCAAACAGGACACTGGGAAGGGCTGACGAATTAACGCTCTGATTGGATAGATTTTGCGTGACCTGTGACCAGAAAGTCATCACGACCACGGCCCTGCATGTGCAAGGTTTGAAACGACTGAGTCATTCATCACTCTTTTATTCCCATTCATAAATGCGGCGCCCTTTTTTGGTTGAAAAGCATAATAATGTAGGAAACTCTGTAAAACTTATCTGTTTTTTTAAATTTTCAACTCCCGTCAGTTGCTCAGGCTCCATTTCGAACTCACGAAGGGTCGAAGAAATCCATATGATTCTACGCTCAAAATTTTGTCCACATGGTCCGCAATGAAAAGAAATCACACCCGGTATGGTACATACACTCCATGGTGTGTATGCATTTCTGTGGCAAACTTTTCGGATAGTTTTTGCGCGCATTGGCTATCCGCGGTCTACAGCTGCAGCCAGATACTTTATACATAGGTCATGATAAATTGCCCGCCCCTTTCAACTGAATCCTTTTCCTCATCCACCTGTTCCCCCTCCTATATTGCCCCCGGTTCCTCCCCATTCACATGTGCACTGACGCCACATTTCTTACTATACTCTCTTTTGTTCCTACCTCCTTGCATCATCATCCCTTCCTTCTACCTCCCCTTGATCCCTTTGTTCCCTCATCCCCCTCGATCGTCACCCCCTCTTTGGTGTTTCTCCTTTAAACCCTGCATGTTGTGTGTCCCCTACATGTTTGTTTCTTCTTCCTCTGTCATTTGCTTCTGAAGAAAGCCTTGGTATTAAAGGCTGAAATATCAGGCCATTTATTTTTTATATTTTAAAAATGGATGAAGTTAATTTTGTAAAGGTCTCTGCTGCAGGGTATTTGCATTTTAAACATTAACTGCAAAACATTTTATGTAGTTTTGATGTCTTGTAAAGCGTTTTGAGATTTAATGTAAAAGGTTTTATTAAGAATACATTATTATTATTTAGTGGGCATGTGTGGTCTAGCGGTAGAACATAGGATTCGCGATCGTGAGATTGTGGGTTCGAGCCCCGCCGTGGCCATGCGTGTTGTGCCCTTGAGTAAGGCGATTTCCCTCAATTGCTCCTCTTAACCCAGGTGTTAAAAGGGTAACGACATTATTCAAAGCTGGGAAGGTAACAGACTCGCTGTGGAGGAGGTGTGGCGATCCCCCTACAGCAGCATATCAGTCTGGCCTAATCGCTAATGAAAGAGAGATGGGCACTTCGTTCCTGTAAACACAGGTTCTTTACCCTTTACCTTTACCTATTATTATTTATGATTATAAGCATGTTACCAACTGCCCAACGTCAACGTTTTGTCCCCGTCTTTTCTCGGGAACGTAGGTTAGTTTCCTTTCAACAAGACCCTTTAAATACAAAATGTAGTATAATATAAGTAAACAATCCAAAACATTTCCAGGGATTTCAGGCCGTAATGCCCCTTTAACCGATGCTTTATCGTTCAAATATGCCATATGGATGTGTGATCACTTCTGTTGACACGAAGTTCTCGAACTGTGACCACATGTATACTTTATAGAGATATACAGTTTGGATATTAATACCCATATTATTACAGTGTAGCCAGCCTGGATGGGGAGAGTCGTTTTTACCGTGAAATTGACCTTTTTCGTATCTCATAAACAGTTGAATACGCGCAAATTATACACATACACATTTGAGTAAAACCCAAACGTTCCACCTTCGTATGTGCATATGTTGCTCGGTGATCCACCTTTATAACAATTAAGGTTCTTGGGACTTAACAAAATACTTTGTTATAACAGGTACCTTGTATTATCAGTAATGGGAAACAAACACAGAAAGATTTTGGGACCTAAAATGTTCCTCGTTATTAGCAGGATGTTGTATAAACATGCTCTTCTTATCAGGGTTCGACTGCAGATGCTTGCACACACACCCACCCACCCATTTTATACTGAAATTTGTATCCTTGTGGAGTCATTTTTCGAGTTTTCGAGTTTGAAAGTGTAGTTTCAATATGCTCCTATTTTAACCAGAATTAATTTCCTGGGCTGAAATTCGGACTTAATATCCCTTACATAAAATACTTCAATTTGCAGACGGATCAACGCACCTTTGAAATTCCTATGTTTTTTTTAGTAAAATCTATTTCGTGATAACGTTGTGGAGACGTATTCTCAATCGTGAACGTCCTATTGTCCCTCTTTTGTTTGTACTCTTAACTTTTTTAGGAAGACCCCCATATGTTTTTTACACTACCCCAATAGCGGACGTATGCTAAGTCTAGGGGCTAGACGTTGTTATTATTTGTACGCGATAACTCGCGGCCGCGAGCGTACTTTTTATTCCTAGGAGGGTTAGGGGCAATGTCATGAATAATTCATGTTTATCCATGAGAACGGACAATGACATCAACAGCATTGTTGTTAGTTACTCAACTAGTTACAATACATTAAAGCATTTTAAAGAACGGTTGTCGTCGAGCTACCACACAGTAGCCTAGTGGATAGCGAGATGAGCTATGGATACAAAGATCCCTGGCTCGAATCCACGTCGTCGCTGCTCATTTTCATCAGCTATTTTTCTTCTCCAAATTTATCACTGAGATAATTTTAAATTAAGGGGAAAATAGAACGAGAACCTAAGTCTTGTAATGATTCAAAGGAAAAACTGAATTATTCATGACATTGCCCCTAACCCTCCTAGGAAAAAAAATTACGCCGGCCGCGATAACCGGCCGCCGCTAGAGGGCGCTAGCACGACCAACCATTATCACCCACGAACCCGTCAGAACAACGGTAG